GGCCCAGGCATCAGCCTTGCTGTAGTCAATCACTGCCCTGGGGCCGGGGCAGGCCGTGGACACCTGCTCAGAAAGCAAAGCAAGCAGTCAGGCTGCGGGCATTTCTAACCTATTTATATTCCTGCACTGTGCCTGATAGGTGGCTAATCTGAACTCAGTCCCAAGGAGCCCTGAATTTGACTGAGTTGTAGCTCAGACCCAGAAGAATCTGCTTAGGCTGCCAACTTTGTGCTGATAAAACTTGCATCTCCTGGCAACACAGGGAGATCCAGATTTAAAAAGTGGCAGGGGAAGGACTTGTGCCAAATTATGGGTCAAAAAGACAGAAGTGTTGAGAAAATCATGAGGTATCAAGTCTAGTTGTTCTGTCAGTGGAAACAGAAGAGTCTGCTGACGGCACATGACATGTTCAGCGGGACTCACCTCAGGAGCCATCAGGCAGCCGTTTCCGCCCCGATCCACATACCAGCTGGTGAAAGGCAACTGCAGGCCGACGTGCTTGTCAGCCAGGCAGCAACCAAAATCCGCGATCACCAACCAGGGGCAGCCGTCTGGGGAATGGACAGGAGAGGTTAAGTGACTGATTCTCCCTCTTTCCTCTTGAGAGGCCGTATGTCCCTACTAAAGCCATCAGGATATGGGTGAGAGAGGCTAACAGGGCCCTAGTGCTGGCCCAGGAGTGCAGGCTGGCAAGGCCTGCATGGAAGCCCACTTCCCAGAACGGGAGGGCGAGCTATACCAATATGGAAATGCCTCTAGGAAATAAACGCTCCCAGACAAAGCCCCCAAGCAAAGAACTGGATAAAAGTTTGGCTCAATCTAAGTAATCTAGTAACTGGAGCTGTCCCAAGACAGAAGGAGCTGCTCATGATTTACTCAACAGATGGGGATTAGCTCACATGACCTCTAAGGGACCTTACACCCCAAGAATCTTTGATCTGAACTGGAAACCCCAAATCCAAACCTTAGAAACAGGTGCATTAGGAATTAGTTATTTGTAAAAGGATTCATACAGACTTCCTTTAAAAAGCCAGGTCCTCTAGTAATTTAATTGCATATTTATTTTAAATCTTCTAGTTCAAAATTTATCAGCTTATGACTCTCCTTTACAATATCCCCAGACAAATGGCCATCCAGCTTCTACTTGAATGCTTCCAGTGATGGAGAACGCATTAGTTCCAAAAGCAGCTAGATTTACATTTGGACAGCTTTTACGGTTTGAAAATTTTTATATTGAGCTGAAGTCTACCTCTCTTTTACTTTATTCAAGAAAACGTTGACCACTGAGGTTTTTCTGAAAGTGGGCAAAAGAAAGGCACATGGGAACATTAACTCTCACTCCATAAATCCCACAGAACGAAAGCCTCCGTTTTGAAGGAGAGATTGCTCATGTCTTGAGTACAGAGCTAAATTTAGACAAAACAACTTATAATAGGGCGTGAAAACTAAAAAGGCCCCGAAGAGTCCTGATGTTCCCACACCTGGTCTAGTGCCCCCTGGAGAGCTCTGAGGTGCAGCTGGGCACCTACCTGCATCCAGCTCCACGAGGATGTTGTCAGATTTTAAGTCCCTGTGAGCGACACCCTGCTGAACCAAATGATCCACTCCTTCCAGGAGCTGCAAGGTCATCACGGTGGCGAGGCGGGGGCTTGGGCTGTTCTCGCGAAGGTACTGGCGCAGGGTACAGGGGTAGCTGGTGGAGAGGGTGACAGGGCCTCTGACTACCGCGCATCCACCATCCCTAGCCTCTCATTTACTCCTCGGCTGACGGCCTTTCCTCCTCGGAGCTTTTTTATTTCTCTTTTCCCCAAGTGTCCTTTCTGTTCCCACCATCGTGAAATTAGAAAGGAGCTGGGGCCTCGCATGTTGAAAGTGACATCAGAGATGCTCATTTCCTTAAAATACCCTTTATGGCAATACTAGGGTGCACGAAGGGGAGGAAGGAAAACTTTACGTTGAAAACAAAACAAAACAAATAAAACAGCCACCGAGACGGGCAACAGTCGAATGCACTAAAGGCACTAGGTAACAAGTCTGTTCTGAAGGAAGATGAGATCCTGTTCCCGTGGAAAATCGTCCTTAAGGGAAACTGACCTGGGTATGGCCGTATCTCCCAAAGGGAGCGGCTGCCCCAGCTGCACAGCAGCAGGGACCAGGTCCTGCCATAGGCCTGCCACTTACTTCTTCATCACGAGGAAGAGCGTCCGCCCGTGGCCCAGGCCTTCGGGGTGAAGTCGTGGGGGCAGCACATCCGGGTAGTCGACCAGGGCCCCGGGCAGCAGTGGGACAGACGAGGTGAAGGCGCGGAAGACCCGGATGATGTTGGGGTGAGGGGCCAGCTGCTTGGGCCCTCCCTTGGATTTTCTGTTTTAGCCACAAGGGACAAACGTATGAGGCCAGTATCAGATACAACAGTTGGAAAGATAACCTAAGGCCACAAGAAATACTGACATGCATTTATTCACCCATTTATCAAATATTTACTTAGATTTGCTCTGTGCCAGTGCAGAGCCTGGTGCTAGAGGGAAAAAGCCCATAAATCATCACATTCAATGATTCCACTAGCCCATCCACCTGTCCATCTCATGTGACAGACACTGGTTACAAGTCCCTGGAACCAGACTGCCTGGTTTTGCCTCCCAGTCTGCCACTGTGCATCCTGGCCACGTCTCAAATGCAAAAGGGGACTAAGGTAATAACATACCTCATAGATTGTTAATACTTGTAAAGGACCCAGAATTTCCATGAGTCCAAGTTCTAGCATAGCACATGGTGTGGCCTATGAGCTCAACAAACATTGCTGAATAACGGATACAGACCCAGTTCATAGGAGATATGTTATCTGCCTGCCTTCCTCAGCCCTCCTCCTCTAGGAGCCCCACACCCACAGCCCTGCTGAGGCGAGGCAAGGTGGCCATGTTTTGGATTGTGTGACTGCCTGCTGTGTACTATCCCTGCCCCTCAACCAAAGCAGACTGGAGTCAGGGTGGGACCTGACCCCAGGGCACCCAGCCTGCAGTCACATCTGAGATCCAAATGGTTGGTGGTAAGAGGGGAGGGGGGCCAGACAGACTCTCTGAGGAAATATGGCAGCAACCTGGCAGTCAGCAATGGGCGCCATGAGGCTTGTGGCCATGGGAAGCCAAAGAGGCGTGCAAGCCAAAGGTATGCACGGACAGAATAGCCATGGGGTCAGGACAAGGACACCGGGTGGCAGAGAATGGAGCAGAAGCCCAGAGACATGAACGCAACACGGAGGGAGCACACGGCCCGCCCTGTCTTCAGAGCTGCCTCCGTTCCTAAGTCAGTCCACGTGTGGCCTGCTGCTCTTTCTCAAGTCCACCTGAGTGGGCCTGTTCTCTGCAATCAAAGGAGTTACAGCATTGTCCCCTTGAGCCACTGGGGCTCTGGCGAGAATCAGGATCACAGCTCAAGGCTCTGCTCAGTTGTTACTAGCAGAGGAACAGTGTGGCTGTGCTGGGGAGATATGTGGGCGCGCGTGTGGGAACTGAGACCTGGAACAGGACGAGGCTGTGGGGAGGGCGGCCCAGTACAGCTAACTGCACAGAAGACAGTCAGGGAGGAGCCTGGTGCCTTGGGGGAGGGAAGTCTGAATTCAGTATGGTGGAGCGTCGCGTGTACATGGGACAGGATCAGAAATCAGGCGGCAGAAAGAAGTGAGAGGCGCAGATACAGTGGGCCGAGTCTGCCGTCCCTAGATGAGCAAAGGCCCAGCAGCAGTACACCCAGAGTGCCCTCAGAGAATAGTGTTTCTCCTCAGACAACGCCAAATATCACCAGTACTTTAGGTAACAGACCTTCTGCCACCTTCAGCTAATCATTCAACAGGCACTCTCTGAGCTGTGGGGGAAGGCAGTCAACAACTGCGTTTCGGATTGTGTGCCCTGTGCTCTGAGGGTAGAGACAGCTGGACAGACAGTGGGAAACAGACATCTATGATTTATGGCCAGGGGGTGATAAATGCTATGAAAAAAAACTAAGGCAGGGCGAAGGGCTGGCGAGGCAGGGACTATTTCAGACGAGAGGTCTGGGCAGGCCCCTCAGCGGCAGACATCAGTGCTCACAGCTGCTTGACAGCACCTGTCAGCAGGCTGAAGCGAACACAACAGGAGCCACCTGAGGGTGACTTTAGCCCCCCCACCAATCGGCTGACACTCAGATGTCCACTTCCCTCCACCCAGGAATCAGGAGAAGCAGCTGCTTCCTTGGCCTGCGTGGACCCTCAGTCATACCAGAGCCTTGCGAGGTACGGAGGGAGTTTTCTGTGTATATTTCCTTAAGCCCCTATGTCTACCTTCCAGCTCCGGACAGAACTAGACCTACAAATCAACCCTCTAATAAATCACCAGAAACGCGGCAGGCCCGCCTCTTCCTGGCAGCCCACAAATACCGGAGTGAGCACAGCGCCGCCTCCGTCGTAAGCGTGACCCCGCCGCCTGTAGGCATGGGATTCACACAGCCGCCGGCGGTGTGGGCTCCTGCCTGCCCTGCTCTGCCCTCTGCGGACAGCACCTCTTTTCCTGCTGCTTCGCCGAGCTCATGCTCATTCATCCTTCAAAAGGGAGCACAAAGGGTCCCTTCAAGAGGCTTTCGGAACGGCTCCCATGCCTGCTGTGCACACACCACTTCTGGGCTCCCTCAGCACCTGAGAAGACGCCCCTCCAGAACTTACACACTGGACTTTGCTTCCAACATGTCTGGCTCCTGGGCCTCGTGCAGAACGCGGGGAACAGGCCACTTGGTTTGTTTGTTTGTTTAAGTCCCTGGGTACCATCAGGTACACTGCAGCTATTAGTGGAATGAATGCTACCTCCTCTGCAGACAGTTCAGTTTCTATGGACAGATGGTGTCCACCTGGGCCTTAGGAAGCACGGCCCTCTCTCCCTGCTCTAGTGTGAATGAGCCATCTGCATCTTTAGTTGAAGTCAGATGATCTGCAGTCTTTCCCAAGTTAATTATCCACCAACTGAAAATCCATCATTAACTACATCATTTAGTAAGCACTTATTATGTACTGTGCGTCAGGTCAGACTGTGCTGAGGACATCGATGATGATTTTGCTCTCAAAGAACTCAGAGCTAGTCTGGTGGGCAGACGGGCACTTACCTGTAAGTGACGGCTCCATACTCCCCGGCCAAGGCCACTCGACTAGCTGGGACTAGCTCCTGGCTCATTGTGTTAAAGATGGCTTCGCTGGAGGAGCCCGCCTGAAACACATCCATAAAGAATCCAGGGTTATATAGACCCAAGCAGAATAGCAAGTCTAAGCCCTTCTTGTAACCTGGACCAGGACAGCTACTGCCCAGAATTGTCTTTGACCTTCAAGATAAGATAACCTCTCTGAAGTGGCAAACCAAGACTAGTTTCTCCTGGGAGAGAGGGCAGAGGTGTCATCCAGGCCAACTAAGAGGATGCTTCTCACACCTCAGACTCGGCAGCTCAGGTGCCAGGGCAGGAAGAGATGTCAAGATGGTCACAGCACAGGGCCAATCTTCTTGCCAAAGATGCCCCCGGTCACAACCAGGCTCATCCCTGCAGGCTCCTGTTAGCAGACAGGCCAGAGCCTGAGCTGCCCTCCTGGTTAAAGTTGTGCTGAATCACAGAACAGCCTTCCTATCCCCCAGTAAGAAGCAAACAAACGAAAAAACCAAAGAGGATGGAAATCTAAAGGAAAAAATAAATGAATAAACAAAACAGATACAAACTCATAAAAGCAAAAACAAAAACAAAAAAAACCAAAGAGGAGGAAAAGCACCTTACTTTCCTCATTTCATTATGAACGGCTCTCAGGACCTGTGAAACTTGGTAGGTATTGAGAAGATCCTATAAGAATTAAGTCTTTCAGCTTTTGTGAATGCAATAGCTGTTACGCCTCAACCAGTGGAGGTTTTGATGCTAAGACTGGATGTTTCATGGGCAAAGGATTTGGCTACTCGTTAGCTGTCAGCCCAGCTTGGAAGTGCAACAGTCTCATAATCTTCATTCCACAAAACAAAACAAAACAAGAAACTGCATTCTTCAGTGTCAAGCGTGAGCTGCATGGCTGTTTCTACCCTCGTCCTGATTAGATGCTCTCGGCAGGAGAAAGAACATCAGGTCTTGATGAATTTTCCTACACCCACCCATGTAACGGCAAGGCAAAGAAATTACTCTAAATAGACAGAAATCTTTGTTTTTGTGGGGGAAAATACTCGATTCCCCAAAGCCTCGAGTCCTTCAAGAGTGGAGAGCAGGGAGGTGACAAGCAAGCCTCTGATCTGGAGGTGAGGTGGAAGGTGGGTTTAGAGGAAAGAAATATGGCTCCTCCTCTCCAGTGAGACAGGTCAGGGGAAGGGGAGAGGATGGTGGTCACTGCAGCCCTGAAATTAACTAACTCATCAGCCAGACTGACAGGTGAGAAACAAATGGTTTGGGCTCTTACGCCTCCAAGTATGGCTCACAGGCCAGCGGCATGGGTACCCCCTGGAAGCTGGTTAGAAAGGCGGAATCTCAGGCCCCACCTCAGACCTGCTGGTCAGAATCTGCCTTTTAACCTGGTCCCCAGCTGATGTGCGAAACATCACATTTTGAGACGCTGCTTCACACTCCCATGTAAGAGGAAGCCGAGCTCTACAGGCACCTGGACTGGGGAGAATCTCTCTTTTTCTACCTACTTCCTGGGAAAAAGCGCCATCAGGTCCCCTAAGATTGACACTTAGAAACGTCTACTTTGAAGATGAAAGGCCCGTCCTTACCGAGATGTTCCACATCATCTTGATGGCTAAGGGAAAGGCAAGGGCCCGTGGAGCAAGCTCCTCCTCTTCTCCTCGTGGGACGATGTCTGGGCCTCTCCCTGGAAGAAGCCCGAAGCTCTTTGCCACCTCCAGGTTCTGGGGCAACACAGGTACGGTGGCTTCATACACAGCAGCACTGCAGCCCTTGCCAATGGACTGCCCTATCAGATACTCCTCCAGCTGGAAGCCCTGCCAGCGTCTAGTGTCCAGCGGGTCAGAAGGCAGCTTGTTTTTCTGTGTAAAAATTGCCTGAGGAATAAAGCATGCGCTGTGAGCCAGGGAGACTAGTGAGGCTCAAGTTAAAGGGAAATAGGGGAGGGAGGGGGAGGTGCAGTGGGGCGAGGTCTTCACCGACAAGATCAAGCTATTAAAAACAACCAAGTTAGGTTTCACTTTCAGCCTGGGCTCAGACCATCATGCCTTTCTCACTACACAGAATAATTTTTCTCAAACTCTAGCTTCACTGCAATCACTGAGACAGCAAAACAGAACCGTTAAGAGGTCAGAACTCCCAAATTCTGCCGCTGAAACACCATTCCTTTGCTGCCTATCAAGGCCCCCAGCACAATGTTGGAAGTTTCTGATTATGGAGACAGCTCTCTTTGCAACAATCTTGGCAGAAAGCTACTGGATGGTTACCAGGAGCTGTGGGTGGGCAGGAGTATAAGGCGGTTGGGTTGCTTTTTAGACAAGGAGTAAAATCAGGAGGATCCCTGGAGCCGAGTCATTAAATCCTGTCTTCCTGTCTCTACCTCTTAGGAACCTGGTGGGTCCACTCTATTTTCAGAAAGGAAACGAGTATACAAATTCTGATGTAAATAGGTGGAAAGACAGGTGCTGCTGGGGATGCACTAGGAACGAGCCCATTTCCCAAAACTCAAGTCCTTCCCTCCTTCAGGCAGGTGACATCATTTGTCTAGTCGCCCGGGCTCTGCCTCAAATCCTGTCTGAGCTGCTGATCCCTTCCTTTCCATGGTTACTCACTCATCTCTAGACTTTCCCATTCTCATGTCATCGCCTCACCTGTTTCTGAGCCAGATCAGACTACACTGCTTTCACGAGTCACTCTTCTGCTCGGAAACCTAACCAATAGGTTATTCGGTGCCTTGTCCTGGTACTTCCTGTGTGTGAAAACTGTTTTGCCAGGCTGGCCTGTGCACTGCCCAAACTTATCTTTTATACCCCTCTCTCTGACTCTTACTTGCACTATTCCCCCCACCTCCTGTTTCTATTGTATTGCTCTGCCTGGCTCATCCCTAATCACCCATCAAGTCCCAACTCAAGCTCCTCCTTCCTGTATAACCAGCCCTGCCGACCCAGCCCACAGCAACCTTTCTTCTGGAGGACTCCTAAAGCACTTAGCATCTAGGAGCGAATATACCTTGCACGGTAATTTTTACTTTTTAATAAAATGGAAGTCTACCTTGTCTTGTCTACTAGTTTCTAAACTCCACTGAGCAGAAGCAGTATGTTGTAGCGTAATCCTTTATCAACCGTGGTTTTGAGAATGAGATATATTTTTTAACTTTTTATTTTGAAATACAGACTCACAGAAGTTGCAAAAAGATAGCACAGAGTGCCCTGTGTACCTTCACCCAGTTTCCCCCAATGGTGACAGCCTATAAAGCACAGGTACAGTATCAAAATCAGGTAGTGACATTGGTACACTACTGTTAACTAGACTATAGCCCTTACTCAGTTTTCACCATCTTTTTTAACCCACATTCATTCGTGTGTGTGTGTGTGTGTGTGTGTGTGTGTGTGTAGCTCTATGCAATTTTATCCCAAGATACAGAACTGTCCCATCACCACAAAAGAACTCCTTGGTGTTACCTCTGTATTTGTACCACCCCCACCCCGTCCCTATCCCCTGGCATTCACTGATTTGTTCTCTATTTCTGTAGTTTTGTCATTTCAAGAAAGTTATAGAAATGGAATCACACAGTATAACCTTCTGGGATTGACTTTTTTCACGAAGCATAATGCCCTTGAGGTTCATTTAGGTAGTTCCCGTCATCAATAGTTAATTCCTTATTATTGCTTGGTATTTCACTGTAAGGATGTACAAGAGTTTAACAATTCACCTACAGAAGGGCGTTTCAGTTGCTTATAATATTTTGCTATTATGAATGATGCTATGATTTATGTACAGGGTTTAAAAGTCATTTTTAAGAACTGTGATAATATATGTAACATAAGACTGACCATTTGAACCATTTTTAAATATACAGCTCAGTGGCATTAAGTACATTCACACTGTTGTACAACCATCACCACAATCCAGCTCCAGAACATTTTGCATCTTGCAAATCTTAAATTCTATACCCATTAAACAATAACTCCCCAGCCCTTCTTCCAGCCCCTGGCAGCCCCCATTTTACTGTGTGTCTCCATTAATTTGACTAAGTACCTCAGATGAGTGGAAGCCACAGTATGTGTCTTTCTGTGTCTGGCTTATTTCACTTATATAATGTCCCCAAGGTTCATCCACGTTGTAGCATGCGTCAGAATTTCCTTCCTTTTTAAGGTGAATATTACATTGTACGGATATTCCACATTTTGCTTATTCATTCATCCATTGATGGACACTTGGGTTGCTTCCACCTTTTGACTATTCTGAATAATGCTGCTATGAACACAAGTATACAAATATCTGTTCAAGTCCCTGCTTTCAATTCTTCTGGGTACACATCCAAAGTGGAATTGCTGGATCATATGATAACTTCATTTTTAACTTCTGGGGGAGCTGTCACACTGTTTTAGATAGCAGCAACTTGTGTACAGGTTTTTGTGTGAATATAGGTTTTCATTTCTCTGGGTAAATGCCCGAGACTGCAATGGCTGGGTCATATGGGAATGCATGTTTAGTTTTGTAGCTAATTGTTTTCCAGCGTTGGTTGTACCATTTTATATTCTCACCAGCAGTCTGGTTTCTCTGCAACTTCACCAGCATTTGGTATTTTCACCATTTTTTATTTTAGCTGTTCTAATAAGTATGCAGTCATATCATGTTATTTTCAATCTGCATTTCCCTAATGGCTAGTGATGTTGAATATCTTTCCATATACTTATTCGGCATCTATATCTCCTCTTGGTGAAATATACACATCTTTTGCCTATTTTATAACTGGGTTTCCCCCCCACACACACACACACACATACCCCATCTAAAAGGAGCAGCCACTCTTACTCTGGTCTGACACCATATGGAATTTTAGCATTAGAGTTTTCAAAAGAAGTGGAACACCTGAGTTTTAAATATTAATGATCAACTAATTAAAAATTTGAAGACACAGGAGGGTGAAGTGTGAGAAAAGGCTGTGCAGATGATAAGCTTAGGAGGATCAAGCTCCTCAATTAAAAGACGCCTCCATAATTCTAAGCAGGATTATTAAATGTCCCACCCTTGGCTTCTGCCAGTTAAGCTGTAGCAAAAGACAAGGACAGCTGCTGGGGACTAGGTCAGATGTCACCTGTCGTCCCAAACTAGCCAGCGCTCAAACATGAGACACTCTGGCTGAGTACCAAGAACTGGGCTGGGAACCAGGAAACATGCTTGGTCCTTAACCAGATGCGTCCTTGGGCAAGTCGCTCTATCTTCCACCCCCTCAGGCCTAAACCGTAAATTGTAGGGGCTACACTAACTCAGCGAGTGGCTCCCAAGCCCCAGGAAGAAGACGGACCTCCCCAAAAAAGGAGAGAATTCTGCCAGCAGGTGGCTTTCAGACTTGAACTGCATTAGTGGCTCTTTCCTGGGTCTCCATCCTGCCTGCCTACCCAAAAGATTTTGGACTTGCCAGCCTCCAGAATTGCAGAGCCAACTCCTTGAAATAAATCTCTTTCTATAAACACACCCTATTGGTTCTGTATCTCTGGAGAACCATGACTCATACAGATGTTGGTAGAATAGAAACAGGTCTCTGAGCTATTTTAAGCATTTAAAAGAGTAAGGACCTATTCGCTCACTCCTGATAACTCCACACAGGTTAACTAAAAACTGTTAGGTGTGATTATTTTTTTCCTGCTGTTCATAGTTTTTACTTTGATTTCAGCTGTGTCACTAACTCTGGCTAAACCGTGGAGGCAGACTGGCTCAGTGGTTAAGGCTACAGGCTTTGGAGAGTCAGACTTTGGGCACTGCTCTTGATTAGCTGTATGACTTTGAGCAAATTACTTCACCTCTCTGAGCACGTTTCCTCATCCATAAATTGGGGATGACAACTACCTCAGGGATAGAAGTATTATGATTTGTCATTAAGTTTTAGAAAATTTACACAAAGCCATTAGCAATGGTGCAAACAGGAGCTACAATTAGCAGCATATCTTAAAATACATGCATTTTGAGGAAGGGAAAACAGTAAAACAAATGTGAGGTGCTGGCCCCATACCAGGAGATCAGTTAACACTGAAAAGGAGCCTTAATCGGTGATGTCCAAGGAATTTCCGGGTCTGACTAGGATATTGATCCAGAGGCCCGTCAGTCAATGCCCCGTAGCCCCGCCCCCGCCCCGCCCACACCCAGCCCCNACCCCTCAGCACTGGTCCCCCCTCCCTAGCCCCGTCCCCCATCGACCTAAGGTCCTGCTCCTAGCTTGACACTGGGCTCCACCCTCGCTGTCTGCGGCTAGTGCTCACCTGGATCTCCTGACAGGCCGAGGCCGCCCGCCGGCCCTCCGCCTGCTTCTCCTCGACGAGGCCCAGCCCCAGCCCGAAGGCCAGAAAGACAGCCCGGCCGCAAGGGCCTGCGCCCCCCCGGGCCCGCACCACAAACTGCCGCTGGAGCCGCGCCGCCAGCCCGGCCACCGACTGGCGGAAGAAGCGGTAGCGGTCGGGGAGCCCGAGCCCGAGCCTGTGCGGCTCCGCGCCGGGTCCCGCGGCCTGGCCCGGGCGCTCTCCGCGGCCCCAGGCCGCCGCGGGGCCCGGCCGCTCTGGCCGCCCCCAGCCGTAGGTCGGGCCAGGCTTGGCCGTGAAGCGCAGCAGCAGTGCCCGACCCAGCTGCAGGCCCCGACCCAGCGCCTGTCGCACCGCCATGGTAGCGCCGCGGCCGCGTCCCCCAGCCGCCGCAGGCGTCCGGCAGCCCAGTCACAACAACAAATTTTGGGGGTGGTGCTTCTGCGCGGGCGCGGACGCCGATGGGCGGGGTCGCCGGTCTGGCGGTTCCCTGGCTGGGCGCGCGAGGGCGCTGTGCGCGCACCCGGCTCGGGTCGCTTCTTGCCCCTTTGCTCTTTGGACCCAGGGTGGAGGGGTTTGCTTATCAGGCAGGTCCAGATTGTGAACATCGCTGGTGCTGGGCAAAATCGGGAAGTTGAGAAGGGGAACTAATATTTATTGAGTATTACCGATGATGCCAGACTCTTTATAACTGTTAATTTAATATTCCCACCAATGAGATAGGAATATCATTTTTATAGGTAAAGAAACTGACGCATAGAAAGGGCAGTGACAATCAGAGGTGACGTTAAAGTTCATTTCCCAGAACTATTGAGTCCTTACCCTCCCCAATGCCCTTAACCTCCTCTCTACAAACCCACAGCCCCTGCTCACTTCTTTGGACTCTAAGAGCAATCTCCCTCACAGGCGACATTTTTCAGATGAGTGAGCTGAATCCTGAAGACATGGAGGGACTTGCCGAGTCACACAGCTTGTTAGTGGCACAGCCTGAAATCCTTTGTTGCAAGAGACAATGCAATGAAAACCCTTTGAAGCATTTAAGGGGGAACAGCCTCGTTTACCCCCTCTTATAAAACTCCGTACCCCTTTTTGCTCGAGGAGGTTATGGTCTTTTCTAGCCGGGTCTCCCGCAACTCAAACACGCCAAATAAATTCTAATAGACCAATTTCAGTCTCCCGCGACTCATTCCTCCGGCCGTGCCTAACATACACATTAACCTGCTTCAACAATCATCAACAAATGGTCATTATTTTATTTATCTAGACTGTTACAGAAAAGAAAAAATAGGTCAAATGGTATCACTGACGCTAAGAGCCCGTGATACCAAACCCATATTTAATACCAGATCTAATTGCAGTTTCAACTTCTCCCCAAAACATAACCCTAACCAATATGGAATTTCCTGGTCAAACTCAAAGTTGGGTAATCTGTCACATACTTGTAAACCCTCTCCATAGAGACAATCTACATAACAAAACCTTTCACCCACAGAAAAGATGTCCCTACCACAAAATAACCCTTTCTTTTCTTTCATTAATAGCTTCCTTGCCCCACCCTGCTTCCTGTAAATACTTTCCATTTTATACAACTCCTGGGAGCACCCTTCTAGCTACTAGATGGGATGTTACCTCATTCATGAATCAATAAAGTCAATTAGATCTTCAAATTTATTTGGTTGAATGTTGTTTTTTAACAATACCTTTCTTTCTTTTTTTTTTATTCTTTTTTTTTTAGCTGAGCCATCCTGCCACCTGTTGGCAGCACAGCGGCAGCTCAGCTCAGGCTGTGAATCGAACTGGCGACCCTGTTGTTCAGAGCTTGCACTCTTGAGCTTGCTCTTAACCAACTGAGCCACTCAGCCGGCCCAACAAAACCTTTCTACTACTCCCCATTACTTTAAAGCAATTCCCAGACATCATATTATTTCATTTATAAATATTTCAGTATCTACGAGTATGTAAAAGATAAGAACGATTTTTAAAAATCATAGTCATCTCTTAAAGATTAACATTAATTCCATAATATTACTTACTATCCTATTAATATTCAGTTTCACATCCCTTTCTTCCTCCTGAAATACTAAATCGAGGGATGTGCAGATGGTAGCTGTTGCTGGACAGAGTTTTTTTTTTTTTTTAAAGATTTTTATTGGAGAATTGGGGGGATGGGAACAGTGTTGGGGAATTGGGGGAAGGGGAACAGACAAGTTGCTGTCCTTTTGTTCTTCAGTCTAGTTGTGGAGGACGTTGCTTCACTGGCCCAAGTTGGCACCATCATTGCGCTCTTCCCGGGCGAGGCAGATCAGTCGCCGGCTTCTGGACGGCTGCTCACTGCGGCTGCTGGCCGCTCATGCTGTAAGATCTTCAGTTTTAACTACAAGGATTTTCTTTCCTGGGAATGTAGCATTTTGCCATGAGGCTAGTGATGACTATATAGCTAGTAATGTAAGGGTGAAACTCGGGGAATCGATAACGCAGTTAGACTTAGCCAGTTTGCAGTTTGATTCCCCTCATAGTTTGCTATCTAGCCATCTGATGTTAAGCTGTTTTCTCTTGGTTTTTCCCCCTCACTGCTTGATTTAATAACTCTGCTCTGTTCCCTTTCTTAAGACTATACATACCTTGTTGATCGAATTAATCAGCAGAACACTAACCTGGAAAGAACAATTTCTCAATTTTCTGGCACCTGGACACGGGATCCATGGTTGCAGCTCCCTTGCAGTTTTTGCTGATGACACATGACACACTCCAGCCATGGCTGCTGAGTTTGAGATAACATTATGAAGCAGACCAGTCCAGGCGGTTTCTCAGTCCAGGCCCTGGGAGGCCATTTCTCAGCTGTCAGCCCTGAAACCTACATGACCCACCCCCACTTTTCTTTGTTCTTTCCCCCACCTGCCTGCCTGACTATAAAGCCTCTTGATTATTCTCAGTTCGGAAAAGGTGGTTTGTTTTTTTTTAGACATTAGTCTGCCTTCTTCCCTAGCTGCCGGCATTTATTGATAGAATAAAGTACGCTTTTCTCCTCATCAATCCTTGTCACTCAAGCTCTTGGGGCCCGAGCGAGAAGCCGTTCGGGGCCTGCGTCTGGTAATAGTAAGACATATTCACCAAAGGGACATTGCATTAATTGTTTTGAATTAAAGAGTGCGTTTGTTATCAGCCTTTGGATTTACCCTAGTCCTCTAAGCTGCAAATAAACTTGCCAGACCTGTGATGCTTAGCCCGCCCACCTGTGGAAACGAAATCTCCAGACTGATGTTAATTAACCCTCCATTGTAGGCTGTGTAGTTTCTTGTCCAACCTAGAACACTGGACTTTGGTCAAGATGGCGCTAGACTGATTCAATTCTGTAGAAAAATCTAAGTGGCTCTGACAGGCCTGAACCAAGCACAGCGTGAAGCTGGAGTCTTCAGCAGCCACCTGGATGGAAAGGGGAAACAATTGGATCTCTTTCTACACAGGGAGAATTGCAGGGATTCCGTGTTCTTCTTTCTCAGGGCAGTAATATAACCTTATCATGGAGAGGCACCAGGCTACCTTTCTTAGGGGTCTTTTGTCCCCCTCTGTTCTCAGAGAAGGACAAGTCTTTCCGTGGTGGCAGGTCTCAGGGGATGGTCCTGAGGTTTTCCCATCACATCTTCCACCTCTTCAGAGGTATCCCAAGAAGGGGAAGCTAGGGATAGGGTATGTGGTTTTCTGATGAGATATCTGTTTATACTGCAGATTTAATCTTCTACAGGAGAGCCCCACATTCCTAGAACGTTATTAAACACCGCTGTGTGCCAGGCAGGCTTTGATATGCTCAGCTACGAGAATTAGAGAACAGGGAGGTGATGGTGGTGGGGGTGGGGTTGTTCTTCTCTGCTGTACACCCTGCTGTCTCTGCATTGTACCCCTTTCCTCCAGGCAGCAAGACCATGTAGTCTAATGAAGTACATCATATTCCTAAGAAGCATTATTTAACCTTCCCCCAAAGGACATGGGGCAAGAAAAAGCTGATGCTAATGTAAAAATGGAAAAAGACAAGACTTAAAAAAAAACCAAGAAAGAACTGTCGAGGGCAATTTGACCTTCCCTTCTGGACCGTGTCCTTTGGCACCATTTCAATCCTCCTGGCCGGAGACAGACAACTTTTCCCAGAGCAGCAGCATTCTTTATCCGCAGCCCATTTCAGAAATGCTATCTCTAAATTGCCAATAGAGGTGAAAGGAGTTTTTGCTGACACTGTTGACAGAGCAAAGCCTACTTGCTGCCAGATCAAAATCCAGCTACTCGAAACTCCTGAGCTGTAGTTTTTGGAGGTTAGAATCAGACAACAGCGGGCAGAGAGTGAGATTTTCCTGGCAAGAAGCATGTCCCTGGACAAGAGATGAAAATGTGATGCTGGTAGATTAGGGAGATGTGTAGTTGAGAAATTCAGACAATCTGTAGTTCATGCAGTCCAATAAATTTGCTGCCCTGCAGTGATTATTCAAAGTAAAAATATGGCTATGTCACCTGCTGTACAAAATCCTTCACAGGCTCTTGCCCCTCCCTCCCCCGACGCCATTGCCCTCAGGATAAAATCTAAGCTCCTTAGCTTGGCACAGAAGATCCTTCACTATTTGGCCCTAGCACCTTTCTTTCTGTCCCTCTTCCCTATCTTTATCTTTATGGTCCAGCAATTCTGAATTACTTGCCATTGTCCCAAGCATCATGCTGATCCCCTGTCTTGATTTACCTCTTAAAAGAATCCCCGTTCACATTTGAGGTTGCCTCCTCTAGGAAGTCTTCCTTGACCTTTCCTGGGCTGGGCTAGGTGCCCCTTCTCTGTCTCCCCCTCGAAACTGTGAATTCTATGAGGACAGAAATTGTCTTTTTTTTTTTTTTAGAAATTTTATTGGGGAACAGTGTGTTTTTTCAGGACCCATCAGCTCCAAGTCAAGTAGTTGTCTTCAATCTAGTTGTGGAGGGTGCAGCTCCTTGGTCCGTGTGGGAATCGAACCGGCAACCTTGGTGTTATGAGCCTGCGTTCTAACCACCTGAGCTAACCTGCTGCCCCAGAAATTGTCATTTTTAGCTTAAGTCCCCCAGCTCCCAGCATAGGGCCTTCTGGATCTCCAGTGCTTGTTTGACAGCCCTCTGGGAACACAAACTCCCAATCACATGACTCACTCCTTTCTCCCAGCAGTGAGCCAGAGTGAAACCATAGGAATGTCAGATAGCTCATACCACCCACCCACCCCCAAACAGAATCACCTATTGCATTTGTGCTCTAGAATTTACACTACGTTATTGGTAAATGAATTTCCTTTCTATGGCTTCTTTCTCTGTATTCCCTTTCCATTTTTTTTTAATTAAAAAAATCCTTTAAATAAAAGTAATATGTATATGTGGTTTCAAAAACACTAACACTATATATAGATAGGCTCATCAGGAAAAGCATCAATTACCTGTTCTAACGCCTTCTAAGCCCAGAGGCAACAATATTTTATTCTTTCAGCTATTTCTTCTGTGGTTTCCCTCAGCTCTAATCTCTCTTGATTTGGCAGACTGAGCTATTGAAGGCACCAAGCTGGTCACATCACCCTTGCTGCCTGAAACTGATGGCTGCCCTTTGAAATAAGGTCAACTCCTTAACAGGGCTCATCAGGCCTACTTCCTCTGGCCCTCCTGCCACCCTTACCTACTTTTCTGTTTTCTCTAATTTTCTTGTCCATGTGCACTTTAAATCTTCACATCTTTAGAGGGCCTATCCCTTTGTATTCGTGCCTTTCTGTAATCCCCTCCCCTTGACTGTTGGCTGGACCTTAGTGACTTGCTTCTAAGGAATAGAATTTGGCCAAAGTGATGGGACATCATCTTCGTGATTAAGTTAAAAAAGACTCTGTCTTCCGTCTTGCTCACATTCTCTTGCTTGCTTCTTCGGAGGGAAACCAGCTGCTGTGCTGTAAACTGCTCTATGGAGAGGCCCATGTCGCAATGAACAGAATAGTAACAGCAACAACCTATGAGAACTGAATCCTGCCAACAACCACACGAGTGAGCTTTGACGTGGATCCTTCCCCAGTTGAACCTTTGGATAAGACAGCGGCACCAGCTGACGCCTTACCTGAAGCCTTATGTGAGACCCCGAGCCACATGACTCAGCTCCGCCCAGATCCCCGATCTGCAGAAACTGTGAGATAATAAACTTTGTTGTCCCAAGCTGCTAAATTTTGGCATAATTTGTTATACAGCCATAGATAACTAATACAATCATTACACCAATTTTTTTTTTCTGTTCAGTCATAGGGTTTTTAATCCCCCTCCACCTTAACTTCTCCTCTCAATACCCCTCAAAAACTAACATACTGGGTGTTCCTTCCATGCTTGTTCCTGTGTATAATTACATACAAAATATTACGTGTGTGTGAGACTTATTAGGCCATTCTTTTTTCTTAAGATTTTATTGGGGAATTGGGGAAGGGGACCAGCCAAGTTGTTGTCCTTCAGTCTTAGTTGTGGAGGGCGCAGCTAGCTCAGCTCCAATCCCAGTCGCCATCTGGACGCCTGTCGGCAGCTCATGGCCTCTAAGCTCAAGGTGCCGTGTTCAATTTTAGTCGTGGGTGGGCGTAGCCACCATCCCATGCTCTCACCAGCTGAGCCATCCTGCTACTTGTTAGCAGCTCAGTAGCAGCTCAGCTCGGGGCACAGTGTCACTGGCCCATGTGGGAATCAAACTGGCGACCCTGTTGCTCAGAGCTTGCACTCTTAACCAAATGAGCCACTCGGCCGGCCCAGGCTATTCTATTGCTTATTCTTGAACAGGACTTTCTGGCTTCATTTCTGACACCCAAAGTACCCCTAGTGTCTGTCAATTATAGTTGTGCCCTCTTTCCTGCCAAAAGGAAATCCTGAAGAATCTTGTAGTTTACACATGCAATTAGCAGCAGCTGGCAAGAGCAGCAGAAATACACACACACACACATGCTTCTATTTATTGCCATGGGAATCTGGGACTCAGCTTTAGGATCCTAAAAAAAAAACCACAGACAGCTCTGAACAATAAAGCACATGCTACCCTGAAATTGCAGGTCCTCAGAAGAGTGGGACTGCAAAACGAAAGTGCTTTTATTTTAAACAAACAGCCCAGCCTCTCTCCAGCCAAATGAGTGTTGTTCTTCCAAGCAGACATTATGCAAATAATTTCTGGAATCACTTTTTTGCGAATTTACCTTCCCCAGTCTGTTTTCACAAAGTATAAGAACACTGGGTTTAGTCCTTCAGGCAGTCCTCATTCTTTGCCCTTCCCCCAGCCCCATTCCCTAATGGATGACCCTTCTTATGCCCTGGCTGGAACGTGCCCTCCTCAGGGCAGCCTTGCCCAGTCTTAGGCAAGCTCCTCTCCTCCTGCTACTCGCTCCCAGAACACTTTCTTCCCCTTGGGTGACACTTGTCCTGAAGGACTAGAATCATTTAGATCTCGTTTCCTGCAGGTAGACTGAGAGCCCCGTGAGGGCAGGGATTATATTTATCTTATTTCCCGCTGCATCCTCAGGGTTTGGATCCAGCCCTGGAGCACGGTAGGTACTCAATAAGTAATTATTAAATGAATGAATGGATTGGCTGTAAAAGACTGCTGCCTGTTTAAAAAAAAATCAAATCCACCCTCAGAAGACCAAAATTTGTCACCCTTAATAAAAGTAACAGCTGACATGTATCAAGAGCTTACTGAGGTTGGATCCCTGAGCTCTTTTATTTTTTTTCTTTTAAGATTTTATTGGGGAATTGGGGGAGGGGAACAGTGTTGGGGAATTGAGGAAGGGGAACAGACAAGTTTGCTGTCCTTTTGTTCTTCAGTCTAGTTGTGGAGGACGTTGCTTCACTGGCCCAAGTTGGCACCATCATTGCGCTCTTCCCGGGCGAGGCAGATCAGTCACCGGCTTCTGGACGGCCGCTCACTGCGGCTGCTGTCCGCTCACGCTGGCTGCTGGCCACACACGGTAGCCCATGGCAACCCACTGCCACAGGGGCTGCAGCCTACGCCATTGCCGGCAACTCACAGCAGCCCAGCTCCAGGTTGAGCTGTTGTTCAGCATCTTAGCTGTGGAGGGCAGTGTCACTGGCCCTCATATGTGGGATCCGAACCGGGGCCCTCTGGCATCCCAAGCGAGTTCTTAACCAATGCGCCACTCGGCCATCCCCCATTTTTTTTTCTTGTTAAATAAAAAATAAAGTTTTGGAAATAAAAAAAATACAGATACGTACAAAGGAAAAAGTCACTAATCTAGATTCCCACTGGGCAGAATTTTAGCTGTTAACATCTTGGCCTATTTAATTCCAGCATTCTCTCTCTCTCTCTCTCTCTCTCTCTTTTTTTTTTCTTTCTCCACCCTGCAATGTTGAGGATTATAGGACCTGGATTCCTGTCTGAGCTTTGCCATAGTCCTGGAGCAAGTTGCTTGACCTCTCTGAAGCCCAGCACCCTCATGTGTAAGAAGGGGGAGCCCAAAACAGACATTAGAAATGGCCACTGGCAGTTACACCCAGCCCGGAGGGGGTGGGCTCCCATCTGGAGAACGCAGGGGTAAGAAGCCTGGAACTTCATCTCTCCACACTGAAGGGCACATGGTGCCAAGACGCCCATTTCCTCTCCCAGCAGAAAGCATCCACGTCTTTCTATAAAGACAAATCACCCTGTCCCTCCTAGGAGCTGAGAGCAAAGATAGATACAGAGCAAAACGCACTCTCCCCAAGTCAGGATGTTCTGTGATGTTTATAATTAGAAAAGTCACTCAGAATAGGATAGAAGCTCAGGAAGGCTAACGGGAAGCAGTCCAGACTTGGCTGGAATTTTAAAGAGGACCCACAGGAGGGAGAGGAAGGACAAGGTGGGTTGCAAGGAAGCGCTCTGCCCAGCCCCTGTGGGGTTGGGGACCATTCGACATCTGTCCCCAGGTCTGTGAGATGGGCTTTATGAAATTCTCGGGGCGGCTGTTCCCTTAAGCGTGTGTGGGAGTGAACTCAGGTTCTCCCAGGCGGTGGGTGTTCTCCATCCTTCACTGCATCTTCTGGAGGTCCTCGGGCCCAAAGGAGGCAGGCAGCAGCTCCTGGACTGTCCTGATGATATAGGTGCCATCCGGCTTGGTCATGTACACGGCCCAGTTGGTGCCAAACTGGAAAAGAGGGCAAAGTTAGCGTGAGGGAGGCAATGTGACCGAAGGGTTAGGACTGACCTGGGTCTGAGTCTGGCTCTACCTCTTCCTGGCCTCTCTGTGCCTTAGCTTTCTCATCTGTAAATGGGAATGACAGTGGTACCTGGCTCATAGAGCTTGAGGGAGGAGCCAATGAAAGACAGCATATTAAGCAGTTAGCACAGTGCTGGGCACATTGTTAATGGGCAATAAACGCTCCCTTCGGTGATTAAGGACTCACCCAGGGCTTTATAAGAACAATATCTAACCCCCGGGGCAGCCTCCTCCTATTATAACAAAGAACAACTAGGAGCTTCTTCCCTTTACAGCATCCTGTTTCCTCCTCACAAGCAGGACAAGGTGCACGCCTGCCTCCCTACACACCAGACATCGCACACGCATGCTTTCATTGTCTACCTGTTGAGGAAGATGCTATTATAATCCCCATTTTACTGATGAGGAAACTGAGGCCTATCAGGGTGATGTCAGTAAAGCAGAATTTTAGCCCACATCGGTCCCCCCATCTTTCTCTTACACTATCAGGAGCTACCACTTGCTTGCTGTGTGACCTTGGGCAAACGACTAACCTCTTTGGGTCTCAGTGTCTTGACCTGTGAAATGGCTTCGGAGACAAAATGTACTAGGCAGGAAGATAGGTGGAGAATTAAATCGGCTGTGGCATCATGGAAAGAGTCCTGGAGTTGGAGTCAACAGACGGAGGCTCTACCTGGCTAGGTGCTGTGAGAATTAGAGCCAATGGGTGTGAAGTGCTTGTACGCAGTGCTGGCACATAGTAAATAATTAACGGAAGCCGTCCCTATGGACTGCTAGCCGTTGCTCATCAGCGCTCAAGTTTACAGCCTGCTGTTCTTCCACGCGTCTGTCTGAATCACCAATTTACTTATTACCAGGCACGGTCAGTCTTCTGGCTTTTTTCAATTAATGTTTTAAGGAGGGAAATGTTTCTGCACGGGCAGGCTCTGCCTGAGGGTATGGATGAAAGCTGAGTGGTGGCGAGTTTAAGTGTCAGGCCTCGGTCCCCGCAAGCTTCATCTCTTATTATTAACATTTGGCTTTCAGTTTTGCCTCCCCTTCCTTCAGCTTTCTCATTTCCCTTCTTGTTGGCCAACATCTAATCTGTTTGGAGAAAACAGCGAGGAGCCATTGGTTCAAGTCAGGCCTCCGGGAGCCAGGAAGTTGGCCTCCTGATGTGGCTTCCTTATGTGGCCTGGGACATGCCGTGGAGCTGGGCAACTCTTCAAAGTGAGATGAAGCCCATCTTGTGAATTCAGTGCCTTCAGGGTGGCATTTTTCATCTGGACTTGGGAAACGAGTTCTGCTAGCTGTCTGGTTCGCCATCCGGGCAAAATGACGGAGGCGCTTGCATGGTCAACAGATGTTTTGAAACCCCAAAGCGCAAAAGCAAAACTGAAATGACCACTTCTCCCCCCAAAATTTAAACAACCCCATAGCAGAAGCCCCCATGGACAAGCAGCTCCTATTCTGCAAAGCTCTGTTATGTCTCCTCCATAGCTGAAAAGAATCTGTCCCGTTTACAGAACCACAAAGGCAGGGAGGCAACCGCGAGGAACACAGGTTTTACCGTCGGCCTGAACTGGCCGTCCATGCCAGCTCATCACTGACTGACTGCTGTCCTTCAGCAGGTCATTTCACTTCTTTGAGACGTGGGGGTGAGGACCCACACTCTCCTCATAGGCTGGGAGTGGGGATTAAACGAGATGCTGTGTTTAGAGCGGCTGATGATGTCACATCAGAGCTCAAGGGCCTGTGGGATCCTTTAAGCTTGTGGCTTTAACCTTTTGGGGCTCTGGAGGACACAGATTTCTTTGAGAATGTCATGAAAGCTACTGACATCCTACATATACACATCAAAAAATTCCATGGAGCCCAGATTAAGAACCCAGGGTGGAACCACCCCTTTGATTTTAGAGTTGAAGAAATTCAGGCCTTCTCTCAAGATGATCTTCGTAAAAAGTACATCAGATACCTCAAGTCCCTTCTTAAAAACACGCAATGAATTCCCTTATACTTTTTCCCCTCAACTTTTGTTTTAATGTCGTAAAATATACATAACATCAGATTTACCACTTGAACCATTTTTAAGTGTACAATTCAGTTCCCTTTATTCTTGCAATAAAACATACCCTCCATCCCATGTGTGATCTTGTGTGATCTGGCCCTGCCCACCCCTCTGACTTCACAACCCGTCACTTTTCCCACCCCACTCACTACAGCTAGCCTCTTCGACCTTCTGTGACTTATCAAACTCACCACGTGTTTGGGCATTAAATTTGCTACTTCCTCCGCCTGGAAATCTCCTTCTCCAGACCTGTCTGCCTCATCTTTTCTCATTATTTGTATCTCTGCTCAAATGTCATCTTCGAAGGGGGGCCCTTCCTGTCCATCTGAAGTAGGAATTGGCAAACTTTTTTCCATAAAGGGCCGGATAGTAAATATTTTAGGCCTTGTGGACCATAAGGTCTATGTTGTAATTGCTCACCTCTGCTGTTGTAGGTAGGGCCAAAGCCTGCAGAGACAATACGTGAATGAATGGGCGTGGCTGCATGCCAATAAAAGTTGATCGAGAATAAATGGCAGCAGGCTGGATTTGCCGACGTCTCACCCTGATCTAGAGTGTTACCTGCTGTCCCTTCTGTCACTCTTGACTCTTTTTTCTGCATTCTTTTCTCCATAGCCCTTCTCACGCTCAGAAACTCTACTGTTTATTTTGTTCCTTGTTTATTGTCTGTCTCCTGTACTAAACTATAAACTCTGTGAGGGCAGGGCTGTGTCCCTAGAGCTAGGGCAGTGCCTGGTGAGTAGTGGACACTGAGTGAGTAGACACTCAGTCAATATTTGTTGAATGAAAGTATAATTTCCAGTGATTCATGCAAGCTTGGGAAGGCCTTTGAAGTCAGCCAACCGAGCAAACAGGACAGTAGCTGTGTCTTCTGGTTGGAAGCTTGGCTTTGTTTCCACAGCCTGGGAACAGCAGCAAGCCATCCGGCTTATATTCCAGAAAGAAAGAGAAGCAGCTTACCTCTCTCATGACTTGCCTGCAGGCCCCGCACGGTGAGATAAAATCATCTTGCAAGTTGCTGTGAAGCAGAAAATCGAACAAGGATCAGTGTTTCCTCGAAGCATGAGGATAATTGCTAAGAATCAGGCCCCTGAGTCTCGATCCCTCCAGATTAAGTCAAACCCTGCCAGGCAGCTCCTGGTTCATAGATGTGCTGTGTCCTAGAGGCTGAGAAGCAGCTCATGGTGGCTTTCCACACTTGCAAGAGGCAAGGCCATGGGCAAGACCATTATTTTCATTTGTGTATTCGATAAACATTTAGTGAGAGCACTTACTGTCACCCACACCCCAGGAACACAAAGGTTCAGGAGAATTTGTCTCTGGTTTTCGAGAGATTGCTCAGCCCAGCGGGTGACATAGAAAACTTGTCATTTTAAACAAAATGCAGTGAAGAATGCATGGTAAGAGGGAGATAATTCCTTCCCACAAAGTGAGAGGATATTTTATGGAGGCGACATTTTATCTGGTTCTTGGAGGAAATGTAGAGAGTTCATAAGTCACCATTAGTGAACATCTACTATGCTGTGTACCGGTCACTCAACACACATCATTTCATTTAATTCTCAGTACAACCAGAGTGTCAGAATGACCATTTTACCTGGAAGGAACCAAGTTCCGTAAGATGAAGTAGCAGAGGTGCTATTCGGAAGCCCCGGGTTTTTCTGTGTTTCAGGCAAAGGAAGTAGTATGTGCAAAGGCTCTGAGGCATGAAAGAAGAACATGCACGCGAGTCAAAGAGCAAAGCAAGCTCCTTGAATCCGAGACATAGTCGGGAAGAGAAGCTTAAAGCCAAGGGGTTGTCTCTGAGAATTAAGGCACCTACAGGCACTCTTCCAGCTCTGAACAAGACAAAGGACGGTGCTTAAAGCAAGTGGATTTAACTATAGGAAAGTCCAGTCCCAGAGGTTAAATCAGCAGCCACCACTGTCACCCTTGCTCTTCTAGACTTCATAGCTCTGGGATGTCACTGGAAGGTTACAGGATTCTAAATTTGGTTCTTGGTCAGCTCCTCCTTTTGCTAACTATGTGTGACTTTGACCAGGCCATTTTAACCCATGCAAGGCTCATTTTTTTTGCCTGTAAAATTGGGGGATTAATGTCATCCACTTTGTAGGAATGAGAGAGGATAAAATGAGATAAGGTGTGTGAAGGACTTTGTAAACTTTAGAATGCCATACACATATTACCATTGCTTATATTTATTATTGGGCATGTATTCCTTTACATATATAAGCTCTGTTATTATTTTAGTATCTTATATATAGTGTTGTTATATAACTATGTGCTCTATGTACTATTTTATAATTTTTTTTCTTATATATTAACAATCATTATTATATTGTTTAATATGTGCCCAGGATGTGCCAGGCATCCTGAAAAGCACTTTATATGCATTATTTCATTTTAACTAACAAATATTTATTGAGCACCAGGCACTGTTGGTGCTGGGGTTACAGCAGTGAACACAACAGGCAAAATTCATTGCACTTAGGAGCTTTAGACCAGTGAGGGGCGCCAGACAACCAACCAACCAACCAACCAACCAACTGACCAACCAACCATGTACCAAGTGGAGATGGACACAGGTGCTCTAAACAGAATAAAGCAGCTGAGGGGAGAGAGAGTTGTGGGGTTGCTATTTCCTGATAACTCCCTTTTATATGTGAAGGCCCAATCAAAGAACTGGTTCTGTTCCATGGAAACTGTGGTTCCTTTCTGAGAACACTCCCAGCTTCAGAACAAAAGCCCCTGGGAAGGTGAGAGGGTGGGGACCCCTGCTCAGGACACACACCAAGCCACATTAACCCTGTAATTACCAGGTGACAGGCAGCCAGGGCCTCTCATAAGCCCTTGGAGGTTGGACTTTGTTATTTTTTTCCTCATTCCACACATGTTGACCTGCTCTATGCTAGGCAGGCATGGGGAAGAAGCAACAAAGACCAGTCGGAGAATCCCTGCCTTCAGGGATCTTAGTCTGGAAAGGGAGATAAAATCTGCATGTAAATATCATCACTGGGTGGACTGGTTAGAACTATGGGAGAGGTGCTCTGAGTGAAATTCAGCCTCCCTTCCATGGCCTGTAAGGCCTCATGTGATCTGGCCCCTACCAAGCTCACCATTTCCTTTACCAATTGTGTGATATCCAATGGACAGCTCATTGGACAAGGTGACCTGCCTTAGGGCTTTCAAGGGGGCGGGGGTAAACATGAATCCCACTGGAAGTTGGATTTGGCCTAGGGTTCCAAAGTCACAAGTCACAAGATGATGCATCCAGAGAGCATAGCTCTGAGAACTGGGAGACAGCCTGATCATAATAATGGCTTACAGTTACATTGCACTGCTCTGTACCAGGCACTAAGCTGAGTACCTTATGTGCATTAACTCATTTAAGACCCTAAGAACCTTATAAAGTAGGGGCTATAGAGATACTCTTATTATCCACATGTTACAGATCATGAAAGGTGGTATAGCCTGCCGAAGGTCACAGAGCCGGTAAGTGGCAGAACCAGGATTGGAATCCAGGATCTGTGGACTCTGCCTTCGGTAGTTTTGCAGGTGTAATAATGATAACACCAAAACAATAGTTTAAATTGATTGCAGACTCTGTGCCAGGAACTTTATAGAAGTTATTTTCTGAGTCCTCACAACAGCCCAATGGGTGAGTGTCACTCTCTTGTGCTTTACAGATTAAAAGCCAGGCTCGGATTGTTGAAGCAATGTGCCTGAGGTCAATAGTAGAGCAGGATTTGAGCCCAGGTCTCAGTAACACTGGAACCTGGGCTTTTAACCATCACTCAACAGTCCTGCCAAGAGTAAGAATTAAAAGCTTGGAAGAAGATGCATCCTAGAGCCTGGGTGCCGCGGGACATTTTCTCCACACTTCCCTCTCTCTTGCTTGTGCTGCCTATCCACGGTGTCCTGTGGTTTGTGCTGACCTTGGTCACACACAGAAGCCATGCTTATTAGACTTGACTGGCTGGAAACCTATTGACTTCGATGACTACAGCTGGGACCCCAGTGGGACAGGCTTATTTCCCCATTAGAAAAATCCCATTCTGGGCTCTGCACCCTCTATCTTATAGATCTCGAAGGGGCTGTCTTAGACTGTTCACACTTGTCAGTGTTAACAAGGGAGCTGGCATTTCCCATTCATTCTCTAAATCCATACTCTCAATTTAACACGTCGCTAATGCAATAATGACTGCATATCTGGCTTGGAAATGCCAGTACGGGCGAATACCTGGAGTAGAGCAGTTGGGTGCTGGGAAAATGCAGGTTTTGCATAAATAAGGACATTTGCTAATCATTGCTAGCAATACCCAGTCATATTTAAAAGTAGATAATGACCAAGAGGAAAAGCCTTTCACTGGGAACATTCTAAACAGAGCAAGACTATTGCGCCATTATCCTTTTGTTGACTTTGGCCTCTTTTCCCCCAGAATATCATTATTTTCTTGGATCAGCTTTCAAATTGAGTTAGTCACCCCCCACACACACTTTTTAAATAAAATGTAATTCACATCTTGATCTCTGCTCATTTGTACAAAATGTTCCCAGCGCTGCCTGATTTGTTCCTCCCAAAGCCAGAGGGATGCCAGAGAGCCTTCTCCATAAGTGCACCCAGGGCTCCAGTTACTCAGGAAAAAAAACCTACAATAACCTGGTCCACCTTGGGGCCAGACCAAGGCCAAGTTTAGGATCTTATCAAAGAAATGGGGGCTCGTTTCTGTCACACGCCCCCATCAGCCTTGCTCTAGGTCCTTACATTTCTGCCAGGAAGGTATTAGAGCTCCATCACATGAAAACATAATTCATTCCTAGTACATGACCCATTCAACCAGATGGCCCGAAAGGCCAACACTGGATCAGCGATGCAACCGCTTTCTGGGTGGATTAAACATTTCCTATGTGATTTTCCCAGCACCATTAATTTGTTAAGAAAACTCTCATGGACAGACAATGCAAAGGTACAGACAAGAGCAAGTCACCGTTACATCAGACGCATAATGGGGTCCAAATAAGTAAAAGAGCTCATTCACATGCACAAATCCCAGAGCCACTGTCTGGGTTCAGGGCCAACAAGAATTCAACGAGCTCCCCGGGAGAGTTTGCATGTGGGAACTTGGAAATGTATGCTTAGGGCATGCAGGTGGTGTTGGTTAGTGCTCTTGTTCAGCCAGAACCTGGGCTGGAATCTGATTAGTTGGAACCATAACCCAGTTTACCTGGCGGTCACCCCACTAGCCTGTCTTTGCATTCTGGTTCTTGGCCCCCTGAGGTGAGTGTTTCCAAGTACAGGAGTCAGCTGGCTCTGGGATGGATCCTCAAGGAAAAGAGGGAAGCGTGTGTGACCTGGCACAGCATGGCGAAGAGGAATGAGCCCTGGGGCAAGACTCTAGAGACCCGGTTTTGTCCCGGCTCTGCCACTAACTCCCAGGAAAGTTGCTCAACTTCTCTGGGCTTCAGTATCTTCAGCTGTAAAGTGGGGGCAGGGACCAGGGAGCCAGGTAATTTTGAGGTCCCTCCAGCTTCAGGTATCTACGCCGCTTTTCTATTGCGTCTTGGAGGGATTCTGTTGTGCCGTTATTAGAACACACCTGCCCTTGTCTTAGACTTGCCTTGGTTGTGTACCTGCTCTGTAGGCTCACCGAGGGCAGAGTCCCTTTATGTATCTCCTCATCCTCAGCACTCAGCCCAGAGTCCTCTACAGTGGCTGGCACATAGGAAGTACAGAACAAACATATGTTAGATGAATGAATGAATGACTAACAGATGTGCGGTGGATGTTGGCTGAACAGATGAATAAATATTGCTGTGACCCAGCTTTACGACTCACCTGGCAATAGCAATTGCCCTGAAATCTTTGTGTCCTTCTGAGATGGCCTTCTGGATAGCGGTCCGTTCAGCACAGATGCCCAGTGGGTAGCATGCGTTCTCTACGTTGCAACCTGAGAAGAGAGGAGAGCCCAGTGGTATTTCCAGCACAATCACTTCCTATCGACTGTGTTGAGTAAGAGGCTTGCCTCATTCTACTGCAAAAAGGCACCAATTACTCCAAACAAGGTGGGGAGAAGGAGAGGGTGATTTGACCCAAACTATTGAGAGACTCTGTGACCCACTGGTACAGTGGACCTTCCCAAGAACCTGCCACCCAATGCCTCTATCTTGAAGCACAGCCTAGGAGCAGGGGCAGGACAACAGGGCAGATGAGCCCAGCCTTGTATGTCCCCAGAAGAGGTCAAGATCAAGGGAGATGACAAGGCTTAAAGAGGTGAGCACAGCCGCCAGCCCTGGGTCTAAGAGACAGAAGCCATGGGGCTGGGTTGGGTCCTGATTCAAAGATTGGGCCTGTGCAAACTTTTTGGTGCTGGTTACCAGCTATCAGAGTTAAGTCAAGGTTCTCTGTGAGTTGTGTTGCAAAACAAACTGTCAAAATCAACAAATTAACAAACAAAATACTCGCAAGCTTTGCATCAGGTGTCTGTGATTGCACAAGCCATAAGGTAACCCCCAGTTCTCCAATGGGATGTGGGCTGCTAAGGTGGCACAGCCTGCAGTAAGGGGGTCCTCCCCAGTGTCCCTCTCAGGGGTGTCCCTGGGGGATAATGGGCAAAGTCTGCTCCCAGGAGACAAAGTGTTGGCGTAGCCAGGTTGGCTGACTAAGAAATTCCTCAAGTTCAAGGAGGTGAGACTATGAACAAATGGCACAGGGTCTGGGCTTCTTCCTGACCATCAGAATGTGTCATTCTTCGTACCTTGCCTTTCTCCTTGAGGCAGAGATATTGTTTCCCAGCATTCATTTTGTCCTTTCTTTAACTAATACAAATGACCCTCCTTCCAATATGGTGGTGGATCACATGGCCAGTCAGCTAGAGACTATATTTCCCAGACTCCCTTGTAGCATAGCATTGCTGTGTGACTAAGTTTTGGCCAATCGGATGTGGCCCAAAGAGAGGTGGGTAACTTCTGGATCACATGTTTTTTGGTAAGGAGATTCTTTGTCCTTTCCTTCCTTTTTTTTTCCCCTCCACAGGCTGCGATGGGTGGGACACCCTTGACCATGTGGTTTATTGTCACAGGGATAGAGAAGCACTGAGATAGAAGGAATTTGGAGCAGAGTTGAGTTGCCTATTTGTTCAGGACCAACTGTCTATTCTGAATTGTTATGCAAGAGAAAAAGAGATTTCTATCATGTATGAGTTATTGTATTTTGGGATTTTTTTTTTTTAAAGATTTTTATTGGGGAATTGGGGGATGGGAACAGACAAGTTGCTGTCGTTTTGTTCTTCAGTCTAGTTGTGGAGGACGTTGCTTCACTGGCCCAAGTTGGCACCATCATTGCGCTCTTCCCAGGCGAGGCACATCAGTCGCTGGCTTCTGGACGGCTGCTCACTGCGGCTGCTGGCCGCTCACGCTGGCTGCTGGCTACATACGGTAGCCCGTGGCAACCCACTGCCACAGGGGCTGCAGCCTATGTCACCGGCGGCAACTCACGGCAGCCCAGCTCCAGGTTGATTGTTAAGCATCTTAGCTGTAGAGGGCAGTGTCACTGGCCCTCATATGTGGGATCCGAACCCGGGCCCTCTGGCGTCCCAAGCCAGTTCTTAATCATCACGCCACTCAGCCGGCCCAGGTTCTAAGTTTTTTATAGACTTGGATAGCCAACGAAGCCAAAAGCTTGGTCTCCAAAAGCCTGTGATCAATCCCTCAAGGCACTCCTGGGCCCCTAAACCCTACCCTCAGAAGTGAGCTGACAGCTGTGTACCCCCAGGGAGGGCATTCTCTCCAACACCCACTACAGATGTGTGGCCAAGAATAATGGTCGAAGAAGATGCTCCCAGAGGACCACAGGGGGTCCTGTGGCAAAGACTGCCCCCAGTGTTCACTCTCTCAGTAGAATCCACTAGAGTTTAGCCAGGCACACTGCTACCCAGGAGACTGCATTTTCCAGCCTCCCTGGAAGCTTCATGTAGTTCTATAGTTTAAGCCAATGGATGTAAGCACAAGTGATAGGTGCGACTGCTAGATGCCACTTTTATGGGAACTGTTTTCCCCCTGTCCACCCCCCCCCTTCATCTTTCCCTTGCCCAGGGGCTGGAACATGGATGTGATGGTCAGTTTTGAACATTTGGATTAGGACACCCCTCCAGGGACGGCAGGGCATCAGGACAGAAAGAATCTGATCTGAACTACCTTGCTAAGCAAAGCAGAGCAGAACAGTCCGTATGCCCAGATTCCAGGCCACCTCTGGTCTGTTAGATGAGAAAGAAATAAGCAGCCATCTTGTTCTAGTCACTGTATTCATATTTGTTTCCTCAACTTAGTCTGTTCCTTATCTACTACACTCTTTTTTTTCTAAGTCTGAGTCTTCATTGTCATCATGTAGCATTTTGTTCCTCTTGTATTCATCAAATTTGCAAATTGTTTGGTCATTATCTCCTCGTATGGTTTCTTCACATAATTTTCTGACCCTTCATTATTTATATCAACAAGTTTGGAGGGGTTAAATTAATCATTTAACACATTAACCACTGGGATGATTCTCCGGATCACAGGCATTCATGTCCAACTGATGGAGAGGAATGCAGGTTACTAGATAGCCCAATACCCATGCTGGGTACCTTGGCTGCAAGTCTCCTGCTGGGGTGAGGGTGAGTGTGTATAGAATGGCTCTGTGGTGTTAGGTGGGGACAGGTTTGGAATTCTACTTTTGGGAAGAAGGGCAGGTGTGTATACTGGGCACCAAAGGGTAGACTAAAGTGAGCATCTACTATTTTGACAATTTAGCACCTCCTCCTCTTTTTTTTTTTTTCTCCTGAGGAATGAACTTCACCTCATTCCTTAGCATGTAGTTCAAATGGGAGCTGCCATCTTTTCTCACATGATCTTTTTATTGGTCTAGGGATGAGCACCTGACCCACACTGGGCCAATCAGAGTTCTTCTCTGTGCAGGAACTCAGTTCCTCTCTGAGACTAGGAGTGTGGGCCAGGCCCTGCTGATGTCCTGGTTTCCATTCATTATGGAGGAGGCCATTAGGAACAATGAAATGGACATTCAGAAGAATGTTTAAAAGAGTAAATCTTCACTGTTGTCCCTGAGGCCCAGCTACACTTCAACTCTTCCCACTCTTTAAAGAAACCAATGCATCCTCCTCTTGTCTAAACTAGTTTATGTGTATTTCTGTCATCTGCAACCGTATAACTGCAACAGTTAATATGGCTAGGATATGGGACAGGGAGAGGTGAGGGAGTTGCAACCCTGAAAATCGTGGTTAACTGTCACTGAAGGCCTACTTTGGCCAAACATTTGTTCATATTCACATGTGAATTACTGTAGCCAGGGTAACTGGCCCCATAATTCTCAGCCTCTCAGCTCAATGAAAGTTAGATGAATAAGTGACTATATCTTTCTTGCTCCCCACCTAATCTCCCCAGTCCGGTTCCAGATGCCCACCTGAAATGACCTCCTTTAAACACACCCTTGCCTGCCCATCCATGCTCTCCCCACCCACCTTTGCTGACCTTTGACCTTGGTGTGTTTGACTTCTGTCTCCCCCAAATTAAGATCCCTACTAGCCTTGCTTCCCACTTCCTATCTAGCAGCCCTCCCAGTCTTGCCTCGTCTCTGACTCAGGGATATTTTTCTTATTAAAAGTGATTCCCGGGGCGGACAGTTAGCTCAGGTGGTTAGAGCGCAGTGCTCTTAACACCAAGGTTGCCGGTTCGATCCCCTCATGGGCCACTGAGTTGCACCCTCCAGAACTAGATTGAAACAACTACTTGAGTTGGAGCTGATGGGTCCTGGAAAAACACACTGTTCTCTAATAGAAAAAAAAAATTAACTCCCATAAATCTTGGGTTTCACAGATGCGCTGTGAAAGCAAATGGCCAAATTGCAGAAGGCCCAGTCTCTCAGGATGATTGCTTGTGTCTGCGTTTGATGCTCAGAATGGCCTCATATAGAGAAATCTCCCTTCACTGTTTGTAAAAATTTCAATGGGCCAGTGAGAGAGAGAGAGAGAGAGAGAGAGATTTTTTTTTAGAAGGGAGCACACTCACATATGCCACTGCTCAAACAGAGCTTTGTAGAAAAAGCACCCAGGTTCTGTTCTGCCCCGGGACCCTGTGCCCTACTGGCTCTGAGAATTTGGGAAAGGGGCTGAACCTTCTTGAGCCTCCGTGTCCTCATTTATAACATGATAACGACAATGCCTTGCTCATAGGCCTCTAGTGAGAATGAGTTGAGCTCATGCATGTAAAGCAATTAGCATAAAGCCTGGCACAGAGTAAATGCTCAGCAGCTGCTATTATTAACTGCATGAAAGTCAAGACACTGGTGCTGGCAGGACTGTGTGACTGAGCTTCTGCTCTTTTTAGACAACGGGTGGCAGTGACCCTGTTACTGTCCTTCAGGCACTTTGAAATCCTTTCCATGATGACAAGGCCCTGTGTAATCTGCTGCCAACCTGTCTACATCTTGGACCTCATCTCCTTTTGCTCTCCAGGCCCACTGCCTTTCTAGCTGTTCCCCAAGGTTGTCAAGTACTATCCTGCCACAGGGCCTTTGCACTGGCTATTCCCACTGCCTGGAACTCTTTCTATGCACATGGCTCTCCCTAACTCAGGTCTCTGCTCAAATGTCACCTCCTTAGAGAAGCCTTCCATGATTAGCCTATCAAAAATGGCTCCCCTCCCCCCCCCCCCGCCGACTGTCTCCAACCCTCTTGATCCATTTATCCTGCTTTAATTTTCTTCATAGCACTCAACAGTTTCCTGAAATAAATGTCTTTATTATCGAATTCCCTCACTATATTGTAAACTTTCTGGGGTCAGGAACTTGGTCTGTGTTGTGCATTGCAGTATGCCCAGGGCCTGGAACGGTGAGGCCAGTGAGGCTCTCAGTTACGTATCCAATGAGTGGAATTTCCCACTTCAGTACTAGATCTTA